ATTTTATTAAATATTGATATTTAGATGTAAAAACTAATTATATTTTTTAAATTTTAAATTGAGATTTTAGTTTTTAAATATAAGTTATAATTCTAATTTAAAAAAAAATGAAAACTAATATAGTAATCTCTTTAATTTAATAGTATTCAAATTTTAAAAGAAAACAGAAAATGACAAAGGACAATTTTAATGAACGGACTTAAAACTTTCCATTTGTGCTTGTCGCATCAAAGACCCACTATTATTAAAAAATTTGATTAAAATGTTATTTGGAGCGACATAATTCCAACTTATAAGGTGGAAACTTTCCAAAAAATCAAACTCTTGTATTATTTGTTTCTTGCATTTGTTTTTTTAGTGTGTTTTCATGATACCACTTTGGCTGATATTATCCGAAACAGTAAGATAAGAATATTCAATTATGACTAGTTTGGGATGAGTCATTATCAAGTTTTGAATTGGAAAATTGAAGATGTGCTATATGATTTTTTTGCAGATCATACAATCATATGAATATATTTTTCAACAATTAACTTTATAGTGAGGATTTGAACATAAAATATGAATCATAATTAGGTTTTAGGTCTCAATATCTCTCTTGTGGATATTTTGCCTTTCTGTAAAGGGGGTTTATAATTAAAATTTATATTTTTTAGGTTGAATTGCACTTTAAAAGTGCACTTTTAAAATGCACTTTTAGTATTGAAATATTACTAAAATGTCAATAATAAAATAACAAAAGAAAGAAATTTATTAAGAGTATTTTAGTAAATTCATTAATTAAATTGCACTTCTTCTTCTTCTTCTTTTTTTTAAATTTTGGGAAACAACTATCTTCCATCTTTTAACACTACTGCACCTATATATTATGTGAGTTGAATTCAAGATCTTTTACTTTTATAAGAAGAAAATTCTATTAAATTATTTAACTTGTGGTAATTAGACTATACTTTTAAAACACTTTTTTGTTTATAATTTTGGGTAAAAAGTTTATCGGTCTAAAGCAACAATATTAGGTTGTATAATCAAGAATTTGACTCCTACCATAATTTCTGTTAGTTTGGTGAGAGAGAACACAATCCACTTTCATTTTTCAGCTCATAAAGGGGTATTCTTATGACTCAAAAAAAAATATATATATATTGAACATTATAATTCAAATTCAGCACCTCTATTTTCAAAGGCATGCAAGGAGATAACTGCCAAACCTACCACTAGTGTAAAGTCATTTGGATAGATTATCTTACCTCTTTGATATTTTATGTTAGTTTTTTTCCTAAATGAAATTCTCTCTCTTTAAAAAAAAAAAAAAAAAAGGGAAAAAAACCTCAAAGTTCCAATAAATAAACTAGTCTCCAAAAAGGCCCCAATCCAGCATCATTATGGTTTAAATTTTCTAGGCCCACATAGATGTATCGACATGGTTTTAAATTTTTAGGCCCACAAAGAGTATAGAATGTGGACTAAAGTCTAAACATAGAAACTTCCAACCAACATTTTTATTTCCATAAATGAGAAAAAAATGGTGGATAAAAGCACAAAAACAAAAAGACACCCAAGAACTTAGAACCCAACAAATAAAAGATTAATTTTCTGTAAAGGGACAAGAATAATTCAATGTCATTTCTACTTTTGTTTATCAGGTTAATTTTGAGGTTAATATATCATTATGTTTGTTGGGAGGTTAATCTAACATTGGTTAAAGGTCCAATTAAAGCCTAAAGACGGGGAGAAGTGGAAATATACCTACGTGACCAATGATGTGTAGTCAATCGGACAATAACATGCAACATTGGTGTCATAAATAAGGATTATAAATACCATTCTTCTACCTACATTAAGGG